TACATGTGTAGGTTCACATACCAGCACCTCAGTCAAGATACAGAACTGTCCGTCACCACAGCCTCCCTCAGTACTGCCCCTTTATAGTGCACCGTGTTATTTCTGAGTAGTGTTTCACGGTACAGAAGTAGCATAATTTGTTTATCCAAAAAAAAAAAAAATTATATATATATATACACCTTACTTCAAAGCCAAATTTGAGCGTTTACTCATTTGCCTCATGGCAATAGAGAAACCAATGTAACATTCTAAAAGTTAAGCGTATTACGAATACTACTTCATCTGACTCCACCAAAGGCTAATCTCTGAAATATTCCTTTACTGGGACAAGGTGGGGGAAGGATGAAAGACGGGGAGAGGGACTGAGCGATGTACTGGCCCTCTCTGATCCGGTCCCAGGAAAAGGGACCCAATACATTCAAGAGTTATGCTATCGATGGTAAGCACTGATAGAAGCGTCACTTGGTGAGCAGTTGCCTCCGTTAAGTTTTTAAGGCACGCTGCCCCCAGCTGCAGGTCTGGACCAGAGGTGGCGCCGACACCAGCCCCAGCATCCTCCCGTGGGCAGAGCCCAGGTGAGCGCCTCGCGGACGCCCAGAGCCCTGCCACCCACCCCAGCCCGCCGGCGCTTCCGCCCCCCAGAGCCGCCCGGCCCGGCCCGCGGCCTGCCCCGGGTGCCCTGCGCCTCCGCAGGCGACGCTCGCCGCGCTCACCTCCTCGCTGTGCGTGGACGGGCACTTCTTCCGCAGGCGGCCCCAGTTCAGCAGGTTCCCGGTCTGCAGGTGCAGGGTGCGGGCCCGCGCCAGGAGCGCCCCGGCCGCGCGGCTGTCGGTGCCCATGGCAGCAGCCGCCCGAGGGGGCCAAGCGGCTACGGGGCGGGCGGGAAGGCGGCCGCCCTACAGGACTCGGTGCCCGAGGCCCGAGGGAGGCCGAGAGGCGAGCGCGAGGCTGCCGACTCCTCGCGCCTGGAGCCCGGCCTGCGCTCGGGCCCGAGGGAGGCCGGCCGGCAGCAGAGCGGCAGCCTGGGAGGGAGGCGCTGGTGGCTGCGGCTCCGGCTACCGCGGCCGCCGCGGGAGAGTTGACTCCAAACTGAGGGAGCTGTTTCCTGGAAGACAATGACTAAGCAGAAATCCGTGGCAGAGAAAGTGCTTCGTAACCGTTATTCGTCCCGCGGCGGGGCAGGGGCGGGGCGCCAAGGGGCTGCGGGACGCCGGCCCGCGGGTGACTGGCCCTCGGCCTGTGGCAGGCGTGGCGGCGGACGGCGGACGGCGGGCGGGAGCGCGGGCCGAGAAAGCGGGGCGGCGCGGGGAAGGCAGCGCACCGCAGGGCTCCCCCTGGCGGCCAGCGGACTGTTTGCCGGCCGCTGCCGCCTCGGCCTCGGCCTCGGGCCGTCTACTGGCGCTCTCTGTCTAGCTTCTCAGCCAATATCCGTCACGCTGCCGGTTTTCTCACACAACTTTTTTTTTTTTTTTTTTAATTTCAGCATATTACGAGGATACAAATGTTTAGGTTACGTATATTGCCTTTGCCCCACCCGAGTCAGAGCTTCAAGCGTGTCCATCCCCCAGAAGGTGCACACCACACCCATTAGGTGTGTATATACCCATCCCTTCCTCCCACCTCCCACCTGCCGGACACCCGATGAATGTTATTACTATATGTGCACGTAAGTGTTGATCAGTTACTACCAATTTGATGGTGAGTACATGTGGTGCTTGTTTTTCCATTCTTGTGATACTTCACTTAGTAGAGTGGGCTCCAGCTCTATCCAGGATAATACGAGAGGTGCTAGATCACCGTTGTTTTTTGTGGCTGAGTAGAACTCCGTAATATACATATACCACATTTTATTAATCCACTAATGTATTGATGGGCACTTGGGTTGTTTCCACATCTTTGCAATTGTGAATTGTCACACACTTCTTTAAAAGGACAACCAAGGCGGCTCCCAAAGCTTTGAAATACTAGCTGGTGTCAATTCTCAGAAGCGGGTGTTAATGCATAAGTGCCCCCTTCTTTTTTCACTTTGCTACCTTCAAGGACCTTCCCCTAATCTGCTAGTTTTTCTTCATGACCCTGAATTAAAGGTCTCTTGATTTACATAAGTTGCTGGTAGTGTGTGATGTCAAAGAATAAGACTTAATCTTTGCCCTTGAGAAGCTTAAACTCTGATTCCAGAGACAAGGCGCATGAAACATTAAGTAGCAATATAAGAATATCATAAGGTAGTTAGTTTCCTGATGAGTTCAGGTTAAAAAGGACACAAGTCGGTGAGATCAGAAAAGGCTTTATCACCTACCCCCTTTGAGGTGGCTGTGATTCTTTACCCCTATTAAATTTCACATGTGGTACACTTGATATGAACATCAAATTGAACATTTATTGAGCTTTTGTCAGGAATCCTTCACTTTTGTTAGAGGGAATCAGAGGTGTTAAAAGGCAAAATGGGATTCTCATTACAAGGGGGACAAAAGCTATTGAAAAGAGAGATGAACTCCAGTTGGTAAACTGGTCAGAATTAGGCAATGGTTGGAAAAGAAGATCCTTCTTGGAGGTTAAAAATTGAGCCTGGTGTTGAGTAAATATTTGTTGGCTGAATAAATGATGATAAGAATTCATTGAAGAGAAGAGTAATCCTAGAGGCAAGAACAAACATGGGGTACTTTAATTAATGTAAACATTTGATTTTAATGCCAGATTTGCTGTGGCAACATTTTTTGACTTTTTGTATATTCTCTAATACCATGCAAATAATACTTGGTTAAAGATTAGAGGTTACATCTGCTAAACCATTAGACCTGCCTCTTTGCTAGGAATTTCTATAACATATTGGTCAAGAATGTTGGTGCCAACATCAATCAGTATGACTTACAAACCTGACTCTACCAGGTACTGGCTATTTTATCTTAGACAAGTCTCTCCATATTTCACTTTCTCCAAACCAGGAAGATGGTAGTTTGAACCATATAAAACTGCTGATAATTGACCATTTTAAATCTACAGAAATGGAAAGTCCCCGTGGTTCCACCTGATTTATCACACTGGGTGGATGTGAGGAGCTGTGAGAGAAGGCATGAAAAGCCCTTAATACAGTATATAGTAAATGCTTAGTGAGAACTCCTGTTACTAATGCCTCTACTAATGTCTAATAATGAGTTAGCTAGTACAGTTTTTGTCAGGCTCCCAACTGTAAATAGAGAACTAAAGCTTAAGTCTTATAGTATAGCTGGAGATCATTTAATGTTACCTCCATGTAGGGTTGCTAGTCAACTAATAACTCCTGTGGGAATAGCAGATTATAGTAGCTGTTGCAAAATACACGGGTGCCAATGTCTATCCCTACTGTAAATATATAGAGGGCTCATACAATAAAGCCTAGGAAAGCCAATTGATATTATGGCTCATACTATTCCTGTGTAACTGAATGGTTCTTTTTTCCCAGAATAATAAGTTACAATATGTGAGACTGAGTAAATATTGGTATAAAATTGGGTCTCTTCCTCCAGTGGGATCAAAAACAGTGATATTAAGGCTAAAGTTGGTTAATAGTATGGAAATGTTGGCCGCTAGTACTGGGGAAGACAGTAATAAAAGTACAGCTGTGATTAATACTGATCAGACAAATAGTGATGTCTGGTATTGGGATTATTGCTGGAAGTTTTATGTTAATGATTGTTGTAATAAAATTAATAGCTCTTAAAATGGATGAGACACCTGCCTAGTGTAATGTGAAAATGGTAAAATCTCTGGTGGCTCCCGCATGTGCTAGATTTCCAGCTAAAGGTGAGTGCACTGCTCATCCTGTACCAGCGCCAGCTTTTCCTATTGAGGAGGCAAGCAGATGATGATGGGAGAAGTCGGAAGCTTACATTGTTCGTTCAGGGAAATGCTGTATCTGGGGCCCCAGACATTAAGTGGACTAATCGGTTACCAAACCCTCCAATCATAATAGGTGTAATGATAAAAAAGATTATCACCAATGCTTAGGCAGTGATGATGACATTGTAAATTTAATCATCACCTAACAGGGCCCCTGGTTGACTCAATTCAGCCTGAATTAAAAGACTTAGGGCAGTTCCTACTATTCCGGCTCAAGCACCCGAATAGTAAACGCAGTGTGCCAATATCTTTGTGGTTTTTTGAGAATAATAAATGATTAATGAACATAGAAGGATAAAATGGCTGAGTAAGCTTTAGACTGTAAATCTAAAGACAGAGGTTGAACCCTCTTTTTACCAAGTTTCCAGGTGAATATTCAAATTGAATTGAAAATTCAAAGGGGCCGCTTTAGTTCTGCCAGGGCTGCTTCTACTTTCTTTTTCCCTCAAGGCAGTGGGAGAAGTAGATTAGTTGATTAGGGTATTTAGCTGTTAACTAAATTTCCATGGGATCAGACACCATCCAGTCTATTAAGGATTTAGCTTAATTAACATGTTTGGTTTGCATTCAATTGATGTAAGATAGGGACCTATAGTCCTTATTTTTCAGAAATTAAGTATTAGGGTACTTGCTTAGGGCTTTGAAGGCTCTTGGTCTGTCTAACCCAAATTCCTAATCCAATGTGGAGAATATTGGTGCAAGTGGGAGGGAAAAGGTCGATAGTATAACAAATGATGAAAGAAAGAATGTTTTATATTTTCAAATTGCGTCTGTCTCTATGTTGTTGGTTATTGAGAATATTGTTAATGATATAGAATAAATTAATCGTATATAAAATATAAGTTGAATAATGCTATGATAGCTATAAATATTGGTATAATAATGCTGTTGTTTTTTGTTAATTCTTGAATAATGATTCATTTGGGTAAAAATTCTGTAAGTGGGATTGTAACCCTAAAGCTAATAGGGTTACAAGGATTGTGGACCTTATTAGTGGTAATTTATTCTATGTATGTGGTAATGATAGTGTTGTGATAGTTGTATTTAAATTGAATATTATAAATGCAGTAATCATTACTATAATATCAATTATTGGATTTGAGATTATTGTAAAAGGCTTGTAGATAAGGATGGCTATGATTCATTCTATATGTACAATTGATGAATATAGGCTAGGATTTTTCATAGTTGTGTCTGATTTAATCCTCATCCTCCTGTAAGAATTAATCTTATAGTGATAGTTAATATTATATTTAGGTCAACTGATGCTACTTGAATAGGATTGAAATTGGTGCCAGTTTTTGTCATGTTGATAGAATTATGCCTGATATTAGTGAGATCCTTGTGTTCCTTCTAGGAGTCAGAAATGGAATGGAGAAAGTCCACATTTTATATTAATAATTAGTGCCATAGCAATTATTAGGGATGCTATTTGGGGATTTTTATGATTATTCACTACCAGCATTATAATATATTAATAATGATAGCTGTTATTAAGAGTGTAGATGCAGTGTCTTGTATTAAGAAATGCTTAGTAGCTGGTTTTGTGAATCATGGGTTTTCTTTTATTACAGTGGGAGGAATGGTTGGTATACTTTCTTTATTCATCCACAAGAAGCAACTTCTCATTTGTTCAAGTTTTATCATGAGATTGCAGCAATTCAGTCACATCTTCAGGTTCTACTTTTAATTCTAGTTCTCTTGCTATTTTCATATCTACAGATACTTCCTCCACCGAAGTCTTGAACCCCTCAAAGTCATCCATGAGGATTGAAATCAACTTCTTCCAAACACCTGTTAATGTTGATATTTTGACCTTCTGTGAATCATGAATGTTCTTGATGCCATCTAGGATGGTGAATCCTTTCCAGAAGGTTTTCAGTGTACTTTGCCCTGATCCATCAGAGGAATCACTGCCTATGGCACCTATAGCCTTACAAAATGTACCTCTTAAATAATAATATTTGAAAGTCAAAATTTCTCCTTAATCCATGGGCTGCAGAATGGATGTTGTGTTAGCAGGCATGAAACAACATTAATTTCCTTGCACATCTCCATCAGAGCTCTTGGGGACTAGGTGAATTGTCAGTGAACAGTAATATTGAAAGAAATCTTTTTTTCTGAGCAGAAGGTCTCAATAGCAGGCTTAAAATTTTCAGTAAACCATGCTGTCATCCAGATTTTGTTGTTCCATTTATAGAGCACAGACAAAGTAGATATAGCATAATTCTTTAGGGCCCTAGGATTTTCAGAATGGTAAATGAGCAATGGCTTCACCTTAAAGTTACCACCTAACAAGAGAATCAGCCTGTCCTTTGAAGCTTTAAAGCTAAGCATTTACTTGTCCTCTCCAGCTATGAAAGTCCTAGATGACATCCT